GTTTCATGCCTGCACTTCCTCTTAATTAATTACTAAATCGTTAAAGTTATATAATAAAAGTCTGTTAAACTGAAGCCTCGTCTGTGTTTTGAACTGGAAATGCACGAATGATTTTGAGCTTCGCCAAGTTTATTAATGTTGTTCATGCCGAAATTTCATTCCTGCTCCCACACAGGAGCAAAATGGTTGATGCTGCAGGGCAGGTAGTGAGTTCGGCAAAAAAACATCTGAAGAGTTTTATTCTCAGACTTTAAGTCTTTCTGCTGATAAACAACTGAAAACATCCTGCTGCTGGTATCTGAAGTTTAACGATCAGAAACAAACTCTCTTTAATAGAAGACGATCGTAGGAGATTATTTCACTCCAAGTCTTCAAAGTATTTGTAACCAATAAGTAAGACGTGAGTTTAATTTCAGTAATGTTAACTTCTTTATTGTAACATCTTTCTTTTTCTTTGTGGGCGTTAGTGTGAAGGCAGGACTAGTTTTTACACACAGTCTGAAGTGCTGATCAGTGGCTCTGCTGCTACCTGTCCATGTGTCTGATTAGTCAGATGCTGCTGGCGCGGTTGCTTTCATGTGAACACACTCTGCTTGTCAAGATAATAACCACCTTTCTATGACTGCTTAGTCTGACTCCAGATGTTAAAGTGACGCCAGATAACCAAATCGTAAGGCTGGGTCAAATCTGGTGGCCTCTGTTTGTGGTTTCTTAGCGTGGCTGCTATTTTAGATGTCTCAGAAGCCCCGTTGTCATCACTAGTTAACTTGCGATGGGCTTGATTTTCATTTTCGGGAAGAAGATAAACTCAAACGGACTCAAATCTGGCTTCAAAGCTGCTCAAACCAACTCAATTGTAGCTGAAGATGGGGCTCTCATTACCAGAGATGATCCTCCACATGAAAGCCATGTCAGCTTCTTCAGTTTCAACCAAATGTGTTGATGTTTACCATTGAAAGCTTTCTGAACAGGACTTCCAGGGAATGATCTAAAAATGTCCAGTAAGGCCTGAGAAGGTGACCCTGAAGGTGAGCCGGGCCAAACTTAAATCAGGTAAGGCTTTGATTTTTATAGACCTGCACCGATCGTCTCAGAGTTGTTCCCTGGTGGTAGAGGACATGTGGGCCGCAAGCTGCTGCATCGCTTATGTTCAACAGTTTATATCTGAAGCTCCGTTTGACTCATTTGGATAGAAATAGCCTTCGTGTCACAGAGATGGCTTCTATATTTGGGAGTTTCTTACACCTCTGCTTCGTCACATCATCATCATCGGGCTGCTGGTCTCACCTGCTCAAAAAGCCTGGCTGTTGGAGACGGTGGCGGCGGTAGTGGCATAGCGATGGCGTTATTTTTGCATGTGCAGCTGTGCTGTTTGAGGTCATTTGAATATGAGAAAATGGAAATTTTCAGCATTTAATCAGAAGACACTGTTAGTATGCCTGCAGAAGCTGCATCCAGGCGCGTAGACCCCCATCTCCTTTAGATGGTCTGAGAAAGCCGAACGTTGAACTTCAGTTGGACTGTTTGGATGTTCCAGTGAAAGAAATGGTAACTAAACCTTTAGTCACAGCTGTGATCATCACATGAGCTAAAAATGAAACATTTCCTTTGCATTTTCATTGGTTCATTTTGATCTTTCGATGACTTGCTTGTTGAACTTTTCCATATTAAGATCCTTCCAACAAAAGGACAAGGTCAGAGTCAGAAAAGTAACAAATGGATAAGAATTTTTTAAACCCCAATGCTTTGTTGGGGTTTTTAATGTAAAAATGTCATTTTAAACCAAATTATAAGGACACAGCAGCCCAACATTTGCCTCTTTAATCTTACACAAACTGTCTTTTACTCCTCCTCTTCAGTCCGTCTCTTCACTTCCTGCCTCAGGACAAGCCACGCTTTGCTCGAGCGGATCTCTTGTCTTAGGGCTGAGCACAGCCCTCCTCTCGTCTCTGCAGCTCAGCACAAACTGCTGCTGACACCGAGACGAACCAAAGACGTGAACGACGCTCGGAGCAACGCTTTGTTACGTAATGTAGGAGCACATCAGCAGAACATAGAAGCAACAAAAGCCCATAAACATTTACTTTAAAAAGAATAAGCATTAAGAGAGACATTTAAATCAAATCCTTTGGGGTTTTTTAGGGTAATTGATGAAGGTGGTGCCTTAATTTCATCTACAATTCCAAATGCTGGGTCTGGGACAAATGTTCTAAATACTACAAAAACTCTGCCCACATTTTTCCTCAACTACTCTGAGGAGTGTGTGCAACATCTGTCTGCATCCGGTGTTGGAAATCAAATCAAACTATCCTCCATGCTTTACTTCCTGAGCTACAATTGGTTATTAATTTCCTGCCACTTGTTTTCACCTGGTTTGTGAATAAAGAGCTTGAGGTTCTAGCAAGAGCCCCGCTTGGGCTTCATCTTCGCACATAGCCGTCCATAGCCGATATCACGATCGCATTTAGGGCTTACTACCAAGTCTTCCAGCCCAGCACCCTCACAGGATACAGATGTCCCAGCTGGGAATCAAACTTACAACTCCCGCTTCAAAGGCGTGTAGGCTTACCACTACGCTAAACTGAACCAGCTGCTATATATACACCATTTAAATATTTCGACATGTGAAATGCTCAGTGGCGTTATTTCGAGTGCTTGCTTTCTAGATTTGAAACCTTTGTTTGATGTTGAGCAGATGAAGCTGTTTGGCAAGCTTGTGAGGTTTTCTGCTATAAAAGGTTTTGTGTTCAGAGATCTGAGAAAAGGATGGATTCCATGAATGTGTCGTGGATGATATGAGAAACTGTAATAAAATCTTTGTTTTCTGAACTTTTACAAAAGGCCTGAGGTCCAAACTACAAAGGCAGATCAAAGGCAGCGGCGTAACCCTCGTGACCTCCAGTCCTCGGGTATTTTACTTTTTGTTTCTTGATAAAACTAAACAAGCAAACGCCTCACTGGCGTTGCGGAATATGTAAACGCGCTGGTGGGAGAAACTGAGATCAGTAAGTGCAGGCCTCTGCTGTAATTACTATGCTGCACATGCCTAATGATTAGCTTTCCAGCTCAGCTTCCCGTCTCCTTTGTATTCAGGCAGATTGTTTTATCGGACTGGCATCAGAAAGGCTCGCTTCACCCTGCTCGTTCTCATCAGCCTGTAAAATGCGTCAGTTTAAATGTCCTGCTCAGCTGCTTTAGGTTTAAGCCTCTGTAGGTTGTTGTAGCTCTGTGGTTGATGTATGGATAACACTGTATGAGAGGTAGGAGGGTTATGTAATTCTTTCTTTAGCCAGTTTTTGAAGGCAGTCACTGCTCATTACAGCCAAGCCTCAAACATGGCTCAGTGCTTTTACAGCTTCGCAGGGCGTTATGAGTTAATTGGGGCATAACTATGTGACCGACTTATAGCAAAGCTTGATCTAAGGCTTAAAAATAACACTGTAGTGTGCTTTCAACCACTGAAGCAGTAATGCATGTGCTGATACAGCCACAGTTTGATCAAATGAAACGACAGTATCTAGCTTGCAGTTGTTCCCTGCTTCAAAGCCGAGCAGAGAAAAATCCAGCGCCAACTCTGATTGACAGTTTTCATTTTTTTAATGATCAGAGAGGGGAGAGTATGAGCTGGAATCACTGCACAAGGTTTCATCTGCTGAATAAAAAACCACAGACATCACATTAAAACACAGAAAGACTTCCTGCTGTCATTGGTAAATCAGAGTCTGGGATTAAACCCTCAATGTTGGGGAGAAAAGGGACGTGCTAGACACTCGTGGTGAAGAGGTGAACTGGTCGCTTGACCAGTTGGTCAGTGTTCCTTCCTTAACCTGTGATCTGGGTAAGGTCAAGGTCACTGACAGAAATAGCCGAAAGGAGTTTGTTCTGTGGGGCAGCTGGGCTTTGATTAATTTACGTCCACATAAATCAATGTGATGCACTCATCCTGCATTGTGTTGTAGCCAACTGTTGGTCACCAGTGATTGCATAAGTGTGGTCTCTGATTGTAACTTTACTGCTAGTTGTAGTTTCAGCCATCTGTAAACACCTCAGAGCAGAGCCCTCTTTTTCAATTCAGTTTTCAGAAAATGTATATTGCAAAGTAAAGGCCCCACAATAATAAAGATAAAACAATCAGATGCCCTGTATGAGCAAGCGCTTTGGCAACAGTGGTAAGGAAAAACTCCCTTTAACCTCCTAAGACCCAAAATCTTTCATGGCATGATTTAGTTTCTCTTTGCCGTTTGGGCTGATTGGGACCTGATGAATGTGAAAACTAAGAATTATCTGATTTTTTTTTTTTTTTTAATATATACCTGATTTTTGTTTCAGAGAAAAATGAGATCCACATATGAGGACATTCGTTTTAAATCTCGATGGAACAGTGGCAGTATAATGTCCTCGTAAGTGGATGTCAGGCACTTGTAGAGCAAAATTTGGTATTTTGGTCGAGACAACCCAAAATGTGTCGTCCACGCATATGGACACCAGGTCCTAGGAGGTTAAACGGGAAGAAACCTCCAGTAAAACCAGGCATTGGACAGTCTTGTTTCCAAAGGAGCTGTTGAGGTGGTGTTGTCTCCTATGACAATTATAGAGCTCTCTATCCAACAGTGATATCTAGTTGGCACCACTCCATCTACTGAACTAGCTTGGGCTCCTTTCCTACCAAAGATGGGAAGTTCCAGACTCCTCGGACCAGTCTACACATCGGAAGTAGGTTCTATCAAGCCTTTTTTTTTTTTGCCTTTGGCTGCCTGTCTGGTTATAAAGCAAAGTGGGTCCCCTATTGGTTGGTGGATCCATGGGCTAAGGCTTGACCCAGAAGTTCCCCTTCCAGGTTTGGCTCCAAAAAGGTACCTGGGGCCTCTTTTCCAGCTGCTCAATCATTTCAGTAACGTCTCAAAAAGCTTAGTCTATCCTCTCGCTGGGATCAGTTTGCCTCAGGTAAGATCTGCTGATTACTCTTTATAAATGTATTTAATAATTACAAGTCTTTTAATTCAGAGTTTTATTTTAGCAAATTTTCACCACAGTAACGTTACTCCATGCAATACTTTACAAAAGAAAAAAGGGGTATAAGAAGCATTTTGTGTCTCCTGTCACATTTTCAGCGTTTACAGTTTGTTTGTTTGTTTTTTTTATTAAACCAATACTAAAAAAAGAAGACAACTTATAGTATCACCAAATACCAAATCTGCTCTTTTACCTGAACAGCTTTGGTGACATCTTATCCCCCCCCGCCCCACCCCCCCAAAACAGTCCAAACATATCGCAGAATAACCAACTGTTCAATGAAAGGGTAGTTTTCCATTTTCGCACCATGCAACTAGAAAAACTGTTTTGAATTTTTTTTAGTAGTTATTTGATAATATTAGCAGATAATCTTTGACAGACCATAAAAAGTGTGCATTTAGATTACTTCAAAATAATGGGGGTAGGCTAAAGTTGACTACTGTACAGCTTGTTGGGAATCATGAGAAAACATGGGGGAAAAAAACAAAAAAACAAAAACAAAACAAAACCTTAAATATTCTATGAGCGGTCACAACATCATGGCCACTTTAAGGTAATTTTGTAGAAACACATTAAAAGCTTCTAAAATTAAAACCAAAAGAATTGGACGAACAGAAAAACAACTACGGCATAATGTCCAAGCTTTCTTTGTACTGTTTAAACAAGGCGGTACTTTAATGTAATACCACTTTGAACCACAAAGTGATGCAGTAAGCCAGTGTAGCATCCTGCTAACACGAGCTATTTCAATGTTATTTAAGCTAGTCTTAGCTCATTTGTGTTGGGGGGGGGGACTCGAGACAAGAAAATTTTTGATTTGAAGGAGTCTTTCAGCAAAATACAAAATAATAATAATTAAAAAAAAAAACAGAAATAGAATGCAAAAACATTCACCACACTGCCACCTTGTGGTGAACGTTTTCATTGGCCTGGAAAATCCACCTGCTTCTACAATTCTTTTTGTTGTAGCTGAAAATTAATTTTTTTATTTCTCATAGGGGAAAAAAAAAGAAAAAAAAAAGAGAACAAAACAATCTTCAGCTCTGTGGTCCCACTTGATAAAATAAATACTAAATAAATTTATGTGACATAAATAAATAAATTAACTTCAAATAAAAAACGCTTTACATGAACAAATCTACCAAATGTGAACATAACTAGCACGTTAAACACAAAGTCACGGTCTCGTTACACACAAACCATGTTCGTCGTCTTCTTCAGTTTCTCTTTTCTTTCTTTATTTTTTTAACCTATTGCTTGTGGATTATGTTTGCTTTTCTTTGTTTTCCTGTCCTCAGCTTTTCTTGGTTTTTTTTTTTTTTTTTAATCCTGTAACTGAAACCACACACAGGAAGCTACAGCTGTGTGAGTGTCGCGGGTCATTTCCTCAGAGTTCATCTTCATCAGAAATGAGCAAATCCACGACAAAGCTACAACATACGTCAGACTGTCGTTCGTTTCCCGATGCCAAACATCGCTCGCCGCACCTCTTTCTCCCGCTCGGAGAAATCTTTTTCGTCAGCACACACGCGTGAGCAGGTAGCACGAAGGCAGCGCTGCGCCGTCTCTACACGCAGATCTCAATGGGCGTGGTCACCAGGATGCGCCCTCTTTCGTTGTTCTCTCTGTTGACTCGCTCGTAGCTGCCGGTGGAGGACGGCGAGCTGTTGGTGGACATGGAGTACTGGGTGTCCATCATGATCCCTCCCTTTGCCGCCACGCAGGCAGGCGACAGGCTCTGTTGCTTCAGTCTGTCCACGAGTACGTCCTCTTCTGATGATGATGAGCTGATGTCCAGAGGAGGCGCGCTACTCGCCAAAGCCCCGCTGCTGCCATTACAGTTCCCGTTCTCGGTATCCAGCATCCAGCACTGGTTGAAGTAACTGAAGACTTCTTTGACAGAGCAGCGGCGATCCTGCTCGATGGAAAGGAGCCTACGAAACATTCGCAAGGCTTCATCGGTGAAGCGGCGCCACTGCGACGGCACGGCGGCGGTCCGACGGCGTTGCCAGCGGACAAACTCCTCGTAGAAGGCATCATTGGGCATGGCCTTCTCCCAGGGGAAGTTTCCTGTCAGCATGCAGAAGAGCAGCACCCCGAATGCCCACACGTCTGTGCTGTAATCCACGCAGAACCCCTCATGTCGGGAAGTGTCGCACAGCTCCGGTGCCGTGTACGGGATGGTTCCGCTCACGCGCTTCACTGGTGATCCGGCGCGTCGTGTCATGCCGAAGTCTGACAGCTTAACCTTTCTGCACTCTCGGTCAAAAATGAGGACGTTCTCGGGTTTGATGTCACGATGCACCAGCTTCTTGCAGTGCAGGTAGTCAAGAGCAATGGCTACCTGGTGCACGCAGCGCTTCGCCACTACCTCAGGAAGTCCCACCTGAACAGAGAACAAGAGGAGTAGGAGAAGGTCGTGTACATGAAACTGAAGTTTAGGTCCATATAAATGGGACAAAGTTCAGAGGATCTGAATCTTGCTTTAACAAACCTCATACCACTTTCTTACCGGCGCCATGCATCCTGAGAAGCTGCCCACATTGTGTTTTGGGAACTGAACATTACATAACTCATAGAAAAACATGAAACCAGTTGTAGATGACACAATAAAGGTGGTGCTTGCGTTTCCTTTTCCCCTCAAGATAACATCTGCACTTCCTGCGATCTACTATATTAACAGTAGGTCACGTTAGATTAAATCCCCATTAACTGTGGTAAAAGCTCTTTAACACAGTTTTAGATATAATCTCCCTTTATACAAACACATCTATGTAAATGCTCATCATAGTGACCTTTTACACTGGGCTCATGTTTGGCCAGTGTAAACAGGAAGCAGAGTGCTGGCTGCTGACGACAAGAACACTCATTTCGAGGCAAAACGTGACGTCACGGCATCTACATCTTTTACACCATTTCCCGGGACACAATAGACCAGCATAAAGTACAGACGGGCCAGTTTTTACCATCAGTTTTCAATACAAAACAGATATTCTGGACATAAATTCATACTGATGGATTCACTGGATTCTGTTTGCAGGGTGTAAGGTTCGTTAACTACAGACGGGAATTTACAGAATGTCTTGTTAAGGTCGTCTCATTTAGGTCTTGGCACTATAAAAACCTCTTTAGCAAACACATAAAATATTTCTCTCTGACGGCCTTTTATTTTAATAATGCTTTACATTTTAGTCCGTGAATTTGTGTTTTGGCACAAAAAGAGGACCCCGAGCGCTGTCGGGACTGAATGCCAATGTATAATTTGCAGCATGTATGCAGCTGGGGATTTTCAGTTTCAAGGAGGATTAAGGGATAATCATCTGGATTATTTGAATAAACCTACATCAAATATAGAAACCATCCATCCACTCAGATTTCTTATCCAGGTCTGGATCGTGTCGGCAGCAGTCGGCCACCCCTGCTGTGCTTCTCACTCTTCCAGGGGAATATTGAGGTGTTCTCAATACAACTTGGGTCTGCCCGGTATCTCCTCCCAGTCGGACATGTCTGAAACGCCTGACCTGGCTCCTTAGGATTTGGAGCAGCTTATTTGTTAAACTACAGGAATGGCTAAGCTCTCACCTGTGGAGGGATGATGTCAAACAGATCTCCCGCCTGCGCGTACTCCTGAGCAAAGATGTAGTAGTCGTCGGTTTCGAAGGCGATCCCGTACATGTTGATGATGAACGGGCAGGGCGACAGGTAGAGGGAGATGCTGTACTCTCTCAGGAAGCTCTTCAGCTTGGTGGTCTTTTTCTTCAGAAACTTTAGCGCCATTTTTGTGCCTGAAAACGAGGACAGGACCGGTTACATAACCTCCAGTCTCACTCCTCCTTTCTTGTTCTTTTGCACCCCATTAAAGTGTTTAGGGATTTATTTCACAGCTGTCTAATTGCTTCCAAGAAACTTAATTAAAACAATTTGATGAATAATTAAAATCTCGACAGAGTCAAATCCTGATGATTTATGCTTTAAGTATTTAAAATCCTCTGCTGCAGTAGTTATATTTGCACTGTGTGAGCAGGATGACGCTGCTTTCATGTTTAAAGTTTTGCAGAAAGCGTCGTTTACAGATGGAAATGTAATGTAAAACTTGCACGACAGCACGTTGTCTTCAGCCGCCTCACCTCCGCTCAGTGGCCGAGAACAAGAGAAGCACCGAGGGGACATGAATTCCCAGGACTAATCTGATAATCTGAACGCTGAGGGGAAAACCCCCCAGACAATAACCTGGACGGCTGCCATGTCTGCTTATAATTTCCCCTCCAACAGGCAGCGTGTCAGCAGAGACTTCTCCAATACCACCGGATCAGCTCTCCTAAAGTGCTTTGTGCTTCTTACAGCATCCAGCCACTTTAGAAAGGTCGAGGGGGATTTTCTGTTAGTCGGTGACACGGTTTAAAAAGAAATAAATTAAAAGGTATTCTTGGTAGCAACACTTTGTGCCACCACAGACTGTACAGAAAAGATCAACAGAATCTAACCACAGTTCGTGAGATTGTCATGATCCATGAAACAGCTATTTGAGAAAATGTTCATTCTCTCAAAGGTCTTTCCATCATATCTAAAATAATTTAAAGAGTCATATTTACAAAGATGTCCACTGGAGGTCTTTCACAAGCACCGTCCATCCTTTTACTCTGCCAACCTATCCTGATGCATTTGAAGGAAGTAAATGAATTGATAAGAACTCAAACAGCAGTTAAATATGATAAAGTGCTAGCTTAAACATAAAAATGTGTTCTTGTTTGCAGTGTATTATTTCATTACTTTGATAAGAGAAAATGTTACTAGACTTTAAAAAAAAAAATACCCTTTTTATTTCACTTTAAATGGGTTTGCAGATGTTTAATTGCAGTGAACACCAAACCCAATAACCAGCAGGTTGTCTAGTAACATTACTACAGGACTGAAGTATAATAAATGCAGCTTCCTGGCTGTGCAGCGCCAACATGTCTGATTTGCACCGATTCCAACAACAGCAGGTCGTCTGCAGGAATTTCATCATGTTTATATGGGAATTTAGTTGCTTTGTAAAAGATCCTGATGGCTAAGCTGCAAAAATAAACAACATCTGTTCAGGGAGACTCGGCTGATTCCTGTTGAGCTACGACTGAGAGTTTTAGAGCAGAAACTAAATATAACCTATATTTAGGGCGAAATAAATCTACCCCACTGAACAATCGAGTCCCTGAACAAAACATCAAAGATGTTGGGGTTGTTTTCCTCTGAAACCGTGACTTACTTACAGTTTTACATAACAACAAACTCATCATCAGGTAAATATACTGCTCATGTAAATATAAACCTATTGTTTTGGCAACTGGCGATTTAAAAAACAGATGTTCTATAACCTAATCTAAGTTTCTAGTTTGTCACTATCACACTGAAATATACCTTCTCATTTTGAATCTCTGCTTACATACTTTACTATTCAATCTATGTAAGTGAGTCAGTCCAATATAGCTAGCACATTTTTGAAAATAAATATTATAATAATACATAGAAAATAATGTTAATAGAATTTGCCATATTATTCAAATCTCAAACCACTGATAGAAAAACATTTTAAGACTTTATTAGACTATTATGTCTAATGTTATTTAACTGTGATTAAAATTATAAGTAAATAATTCATAACTGGCATCAGTTACACATTTCCAGATACATCCAGTTCAAAATAATCCTTATTTATTTTATACTTGTGCAGCCATCACTTCATCCTTTCACTGAAACCAACCACTTCTACTCTGATTGGCCGTGTTACCGTATTTTTATTTCATTTGACTTTAACTGCTCAAAGTTTGATCTAAAAAAATAAAATAAAATAAAGAACAAAAAAAAGAATAAATGAATAAAATTTTTAACGATCCACTTCGGTAAACTGTCAGAACTTTGCTATTGTGATAAGATTAAATTAACAAGCTTTGACATATCACAGATTCATTTACACCATCAGTACTTATACATACGAAATACAGAAAAATAAAAACAATGATTGACATACTCAAATTTCAAATTCATCAAAAAGGATGACAAAGAGAAACAGACACTTGAATTGAATTAATAAGATATTGTGAAAACAACCTTTTAAGGTTTTAATTGAGTTTTAACTTCGAAATACAAAATGCATTTCAGACTGCATGTGACTGCTTAAAATGTCGCTAAAGGGATAAAAAAAACTCGCAAGTTCTACACATGTCGCAGAAACATCTGGGGATGAAACACTTGAGTTTGTTCATTTAAAAAAAAGAAAGTAAAAAGGTTAAATGTTATACCTTCAGTCCATCCATTTCCACAGGTAGCCTGATTTTCTGCTCCACACTGAAGGTCAGATAATTTAAGTAGCTTAATTACACTACACTTATTCCAGAGCCGTTATAAGTGTAGCACTTATTAACGGCTCTGGGAAGAAGCTGGCGGTTCACTACCAAATTATGAAACCAAAAGGTATATAACATTTTTTATAAATCCATTAACGGCACACCTCAAATGGCTTGAAAAGGTCACCATTTGTCACTCCAAGAGTCTGCTGCTACTTGAAATAGGCAGTGAAGCAGAGGCTTTGTGACTCCAAAAAAAAAAAAAAAAAAAAAAAAAAGACTATTAAGAGGCTGAGAACAGATGGGCAACAATTTGGATTTTAATGTGAAAAGGTTAAACAGATTTTCAGTCAGTTAAGTGGTGAATTGAGGCAGTTTGGATCTCGACCTGGGCTAAAAATCCCTGCAAGAAAGCGACCTCCAGTACCTCCAATTTGGCTTTTTTGAAAGTAAACACTTCAGTCGTGAGCAGAAGTACTTTACCTTCACAAACACGCCGTCATCTGACTCGAGAGCTGCTTTCATATTAGACTGTGTTATTACTCTGAGTCACAAAACAGGGCCACAAATGAGGACAACATCTCATTTCCTGCAAGTGCAACCCTGCAGATCTGCTTATTTTGTGGGCAAATGAATTTCTCAGAAAATCTCCTCTCCCCAGAAGAAGCGATGGATCTGAATTTCAAAAAGAAAACTGTCTTCATGGGCTTTACCTTCTGGTTCATTTTTCCTCTTATGCAAGATGAGGATGAAACAGATGTGAAAAAAAAAAAGGAGGAAATTTACTTACATGGAAAAAAGATCATAGCCATCTTTCTGGCTAAAAACAACCATCATGGCATTTATTAGCTACAGCTAGCTAGCCAATGAAACTAATGATAATTTATTTAATTGACGCTACATCATGAAGTTAATGCTAATGCAGATCCCAAACTAAAAAGCCATTTGAATTAGGAAATTCAAATATATTCCATTTACTGTTGTGTTATTTTTATTTATTGAAAAGCTTTTGGTATTTTTGTTCAATAAAATTTAGACAAAAATACCAAGAAGTTAATAAATGCAAGTACAACTGACTATTAACCCCAAGAGCAAGAAAACAAACAAAAACAAACAAAAACCTTTACATTATTAATTTGTCTTAAAAATATTGTAAATGGATTTGTTTTAAAATGACACTGAGTTACTTGATCACTACAGGCAGCTGCCCAGAGTACCAACATGGGTACACCATTTAAAAGCTTTTCCTTGTGCTCTATGCAATTTGTATTTTGGAAAACAAAATAAATAAAAATTCAGATACTTTGCCATTTAGAGTCTGTTGACAGGAACCCCCCCCCAACAACCTGTTCTTCCATATTTCACTGTTACTACCAATATGGTCGTGTTTTATGGTAAGAATGCAAAAATTTACTTAATATATATAAAAAAAACAAAAAACAGAAACATTTATTAGTCGAAATTATATTTAAAGTGATTTCTTTAAAATTTATGGCCACCAGGATTTTATGTTTGTCTTGTTTGAAATGTGGTAAACTTGCATCAACCAGTTGTTTATTTTGGTTTGTTCTGTAGATATTAATACAATTTTTTGTTCTTTACAGTAGCAGCCACAGTTAATACCTCTGATTTTGTGGATGACCAGGTCCACCTTTCCATAGGTGCCCTTTCCCAGCTCACGGATGATCTCATAGTACTTGTTGATGTCCAGTTTTTCCAGATTCTGTGCAGCAATCAGCTGGAGCTCCTCCAGGATGTCGATGGAGGCACGGGAGCCATGAGGCAAGGAGTTCATATTGGTTAAAGGGACGGGGCAAGGGGGGCCGAGGGCTGGTCTGGAGATGGATTTTCCTGGAGAGCAGGAAGGAAGACGAGGTTTACTGTGAGGGAACTTATCCACCCATGGCTGCATTCCTAAACTATACACCACTGCTTTGCAAAGCATATCTTGTACTGCATGTGTGTACTGTACTGGTATCAAAGGGAAAGTGAAAACGCTTTGAGTCCAGGCCAGTGAACCGTTATGTAATCTTTACACTGTGTTCTTACTTTGAGAAAATATAGTTTCTAAGATCACAGCTCCTCATAGCAATAAAGAGAGCATAATCGAAGAACAAAAGGTGGGAATTTTTCTATCAAAGCCCATTTAATATATGCAGATGCAGACAGAGGTTCGTTATTCACACAGCTCAGTTACCTTCAAAGTCTAAACAGAAACTAAAATTGGCACAAATAATGCATCAGACACAAATTCACGTTGTATTACATTCAGTATACAAAAGACACAAAATGATGCAAGTTTGGTAAATGAAGGTAAATTAGCATCCTTGCAAGATTAAAATGTTTATATAGATGATATAAGATGATATAGATGTCTCTCCTTCCTGTTAAAAGGTAGTTCTTAGTTGCCAAGTGTTTGTTTAAAAAAAATGATCTAATTATCTGGTTCTCTAATAATATTTTAGGACATTTGCTTTAGATTATAAAGGGTTTTAACTCTTACATAACTAGCTTTGTATAGATAATACTGATAATGGAAAAAGCACCACGTGTCATTACTACAGCCACAAGGTTAAAACAGAAAATCTCCCTGCACCAAAGTTCTGTTTCTACTTTATTCTATTTGTGTTAAATAAAACTAGAACTTCAGTCGCCGAGCAGCAAACTTTTTTGTTAACCTTGTGCAAAGACATCCAAGTTGAATAGCTTTGGGTGAGATAGGCGATATAACCCCGGCACAACGTCCTGATGCTGACTGATGAAAGAAAATGAAGAAAATTAATTGAACGAGTCCATCCCTGAGAGCAGAGAAGTGTTACTATTTGTAGGGCTGATCCTCTGCAGCTGATTAACGATCTTTCCACATTAACGAACGTCTAATTCCGAACTGACGTGTTTCTTCTCCGTCACGCCTGCTGCCATTCACTCAGCAAATCTGTCTCGCCTTCCGGCTCCTTCTGCTGCCGAGGGGAGCCAAGCAACACTTCAGATCTCTGGATGAATGCGGAGACTTCACAGCCCTGATGGCCCAGCAGAATTGCACCATGTCTCATTAACAGGGATGAGAAAGTGTTGAAGGAGACGGGATGCTAGCCACATCCTGTGTTTCGGGTCCATCTGTCCCCACTTGGCTCCCATCTACAGTGTGAGTGCACGATGGGGAAATGTGTACGAGAAACTCAAGTAACGCATGTGAAAACAATGAACCCAAACAACAACAGAGTATGGTCCGCTTGGAAAAAACACAGTGAGAGTAAAACTGTGATTTGAGTAAATAAAAGCCTATTAATGCAGATTTACTTTACTGAAACAAATGCAGCACGTGAACCGGGACGTTTATTTTTTTTTAATGTCACTGATTTCAGCTTCAGTGTTTGCAGCGTACTCAAGCTGGATTAAACAACAGCCTTTATTAACCCAACACTTCCTGCTGCTTCACAGGGTGGTTTTTATTGTGGAAAAAAACAAACAAACAAAAAACAAAACAAAACAAAAAAAAAAAAAAAAAAAAAAAAAAAAAAACACACACACACACACACACACACACACACACACACACACACACACACACAACAACAACCCACAGGAAAAAATGTTTTTCTGAGAATTTAATGTCATATTTTTTTTTCTGTTCATTTTTGAAAGACGCCGACTTGTCTGCAACTGCTCACCAAGTGGTAGTGAAACTGTAAAAACAGACCATTTACCTTCAAAGTAAAAGTCATCCTGTGAGCATGACTCAAAAGGCGCAACTTACTTTGAAAGTTGAGCCTTTGAAGGTCTCCGTTTCCGGTTTGCACTGACCGCTCAGCGTAAACGTTGAGTGTTTGTAGGTGAGTCGGGTTCTTCCACGTTCCACCGAGTTGTTTGTTACATGAATAGAACTTTTCATGTAACGTGTCTCGTTTCTTCATCTTTCAATTGTCCAATCATATAAACGACACCGAACAAGAGTTGAGAACAGAACACGATTTTTGGCAAGTTTTTCCATGGGCTCAACCCACATACTCAACTCTGCTGCTCAACCCATGACTGTGGGTTGAGCAGCAGCTGTGGGTACATATGCGGCACCGTTCAAGGGGAAATAAACAGGCTTTCCAACTGTATGAAATTTATTATCAAACAGTATTGTTACAGCAACATTTTACTTTTGGTGTGAATTTAGTCTCATAGCCTACTTACATCTTACACAACTATGTTTTATGTCTTTGCCTCCAAATCTCAGTAATGCATCAATCTGTTACACACAGAAAAACTCAAACTGACATCAGTGATGAATATCTTGAATTTTTAAGCTAACAGTATAAGTCTGGCTGTGCTTTGAACAAAATGTAGTATTTAACTGTGCTTGTTGTTTCTTCAGAACCTCTGTTACTGCTAAATAAAGCAGGACTGACATGTTCAAAACTGAAACCCTGACATGCTGAAAACACTGCGTTAAAAAACAGTGAAAGGAAGCCGTGAGCTCGGCTGTGTTGGAGTGACAGCGGAGGATGGAAATGGCCCTCGAAATAAACAGTATGTGCTGAGCATTAAAGTACGACAAGCTGATAAAAATGAGGACTCAGCTGAACCCAAAGGAGCCAACTGGCTGTCTATCACCAGTCCTCTCAGCATCCCTCTGACAAGGTCAATAAAGCACAGAAAGGATGAGACAGCCAGAGAGTGTTTAGAGCTGCAAACAGACACACTCGGGCATCTCAATTTTACATGCTAGATACGTAGGTAGATTTTTAATTAAAATTCGAGCCCTTTTCAAAATAATGGCCGTTTTCTTGCACAGTTTTTCTGCTCAGCCAGCAGTACAGTTCACAGGGTCAGAGCGAGGGCCCAGTAAATGAACACGAGACCAGATGCACAAAGAGAACGAAGCATCTCACCTCTGCTTTCAGGATGATCAAATAATGCCAGGAGGAGCACTTTGCGCCTCCCTTCTTTGTTCGTGTGTCAAACACATTTTCACAGCACAAAGAGACACTGCAGAGACCTTTTGTTAAAGGACAGTAAATGTTTTTTCCACACACCTGTTCTGTTTCAGACTTTCATTTGGAGCATTAAAGGAGCCCAGAAAACCATTGTTATTACTGACACTGCTGCTATTATGTGAAACCAAATCATTATTTTAAATAACAAGTACTCCATGTACAAGCTTGCATCAGACAAAAGAACCAAAACAACAAAAACCCACCACAGTAATCTCCTAATTTTTGGGAAAACTGCTCTTATCTATGCTTTATACTGTTAGTTTTTGTCCTTTTCTGGACTTTGTCTTGACTTTAGATTACTGGACTCTATTATCCATAATCCTCCATTATACTGTTAGCTAGTACTGCTCATAGGAGCAATACTAGCAATAAACATTAAAGTCACCTCCTTTGTATTTTCACTAAAAATTAGCCCACTAAAATTTAAGAAGAAAAAAAAATCATGTTAATTAAATCATGTACTTGATTTCTGGGCTCAATGATTCATTAATTCAGGTCTGCTGATTTCCTAGAAACTTTGTGAGAATTTAGAAAACTAAAACCTGGCAACAACAAGTCGAATGATGTCACCAAATGACCAAATATGAATGCTGGTCTTCTACAAAAGACGCATTTTGTTGTCAGATCAAGCAGAGAACTCACCATCCATTTACTTTCTATCGTTACGTTTACCTAACCATAGCAACTTTGACATATATGCATTAATTATGTTTCACCCTCGGTGTCTTCCTGCTATCCGGGCGTGAACACTTCCTCACGTGCTCTCACACTGAAGTCCTATCAAACAGCCCGGAGATGAAAGGAGTCACAACCACCGCTAATTAGGTGTAACGTTTTTTAGCTGCAGCTCCCGGCGCTCCCGCTAAGTCTAAGGGGTAACTGCTCCCCCAAGGGCATCAAGGAGCCATGTCTGCCTCTGATGAGCGGCGCGAGACCGCCTTCCCATCATTCTTTCAGTCGGTAAACAAAGCCCGGCTGGAATTCAACCAGTGTGCTTTACGTCTGTTATGCCCTGATAAGGTTACCTGTCTTTTGCGCCGCTTGGCAGGTGGGTGCAGTCCAACGGTGAGAGCGCCTGTTGATGGAAAGCTGGAGTGGCACAGAGTCAGAAAGCTGTGAGTTTTAATGACCTTTGATTTTCCTGCAGCAACAGCAGCAGCAAGGTGGCACAGCTGCCATGGCTACAGCCTGACGATGCTTTGTGTTTCTAGCGGTTCCCTGCAGAACTCGAGCTTCTCTTGGACTGCCAAAATGTCACACTCTTGTTTCTAATAATGTCTCGTTCACAGTAAAACAAACCGACTACATTTATTGAAGGGTCTGGTTTCAATGCTGGGAATGCTGGAGCTTGTAGAGAGTGCCAGAGTTTTAACTGGGACACATGGTTGATGTTTGAGTCCATAGGTACATTTAGTTTGCATAGGGACAGATTTAAAGCTGAAATTTCTTCTTCGTTTTAGGATTTGTTCCTGAACTCAAAGATCCACAAAACCTGAGCCAAAGACAAAGTCAGAAGCTTCCTTCTGTGTTTTCTAAGGTGTAATCTAAAGAGTAATCCGAGGAGACCACTGATCACTTACAAGAAGAATAGTATTGCCGCTGTGACGATGAGTAAACCTGACAAACTCGACAGAAGTGCTGAGTAATGGTCTCCCGGTGCCGCAGGAAAAACAGCCTCTGCCACCTCGTGTGTGTTCAGGCCAGCATCGACTTGCAAAACATCGGCACCCAATTAATCATTTGTAATGTGAAATCAATGCGTCACCAGGCTGAAAAAATATTTATGAACAAAGGCTGCCATCTTACTCTATGCCTTCCTCCCGACAAAAATCTTTCATACCTCAGAGAGTTTCCAAAAACAAGAGG